TGCCGCGCAGACATGTCATCTGCACGGTTCAATGATCCGAGCCGCGCAGCCGATTCGTCAGCGCAGCGCGGACGTGTTTCCTAGCGACACTCAATAGTCAGCGCTGTACTGACCAATTTAAAGCAACGCAAACCATATGCTACATATGCCCCCCCCCCCCCTAACATTACATTCATTGAGATATACCTCCCTGAAATGAATTCTTGTAGGTTGGGATGTCTGTATATGCAGCATAGATATATACACGGCTGTGCAGCTGCAAATGCGTTTTACATATAGGTTTCAGTAAATCGAGGAAAAGGAGTTTCCGAAGACATTTGTTGGCTATGATAAGAAAAACTACTGAATTAAAAAAAAAATTGCATTTTATATTCTCATACATTTCATACATTTTATATTTTACATTTATATAAGATATAAGATATTACATTTTAGATTTCATACATTTTAGACCGTTTCAATTAATTTGAATTAGACAGATTGGATTATACATCTTAGAATCGATACATCTTAGACTCTGAACGTTTTGTGTAAACAACACAATTTTATTTTATTTTCAGATATTAATGTAGCACAGATATGCATATGATTAATATAGCAAATGTAAGATACATAATATATGTATAAAAGTTCATCTTTTCTGTGCAAAAATAAATATGTATCGAAAAAATTTACCTCTATTTATTTTATTAGTGTGACTTGACTTTACTTGAAACTTATCAGGACTTGACTTGACTTGCTTAGGGTGAACCCTTGACTTGACTTGACTTGCTTGATTTATCTGAACTGCGACTTGAGACTTGACTCGAGACTTGATGGTTAAGACTTGAGACTTGCTTGGACTTGACCATGTGTGACTTGTCCCCACCTCTGATACTTATAGGTAGGTAGGTTGGTTAATGTGTAACTGCATGTGAAAGTTAATACTGGTAGGTAGGTAGGTAGGTTAATGTGTAACTGTATGTGAAAGTTAATACTGGTAGGTAGGTAGGTAGGTTAATGTGTAACTGTATGTGAAAGTTAATACTGGTAGGTAGGTAGGTAGGTTAATGTGTAACTGTATGTGAAAGTTAATACTTATAGGTAGGTTGGTTAATGTGTAACTGCATGTGAAAGTTAATACTGGTAGGTAGGTTAATGTGTAACTGTATGTGAAAGTTAATACTTATAGGTAGGTAGGTTGGTTAATGTGTAACTGCATGTGAAAGTTAATACTGGTAGGTAGGTTAATGTGTAACTGTATGTGAAAGTTAATACTGGTAGGTAGGTTAATGTGTAACTGCATGTGAAAGTTAATACTTGTAGGTAGGTTGGTTAATGTGTAACTGTATGTGAAAGTTAATACAGTGGGTAGGTAGGTTAATGTGTAACTGTATGTGAAAGTTAATACTTGTAGGTAGGTTGGTTAATGTGTAACTGCATGTGAAAGTTAATACTTGTAGGTAGGTTAATGTGTAACTGTATGTGAAAGTTAATACAGTAGGTAGGTAGGTTAATGTGTAACTGCATGTGAAAGTTAATACTTGTAGGTAGGTTGGTTAATGTGTAACTGCATGTGAAAGTTAATACTTGTAGGTAGGTTAATGTGTAACTGCATGTGAAAGTTAATACTTATAGGTAGGTTGGTTAATGTGTAACTGCATGTGAAAGTTAATACTGGTAGGTTGGTTTATGTGTAACTATGTGAATGTTAATACTGGTTGGTAGGTATGTTTGTTAATGTGTAATGTGGGATCACATTATAAAATAAATGTTTTTTTCCAAAACACGTTGGCCACAATTACTCATACCCTTTTATTAAATACCTTTTTGCAATCTCTTTTTGCCAAGATAACTGCTCTGAGTTTTCTGCTATAATGCCTGATGTGTTTGGACAACACCTGACCTGAGATCAGAGACCATTCCTCCATACAGACTCTCCAGATCCCCAGATCCATGTTTGTGCTTCTTCTCTTCAGTTCGGACCACTCATTTTCTATAGGGTTCTGGGACGGTCATGGCAGAAGCTTCATTTTGTGCTCCCTAACAAATTTTTGTGTTGATTTTGATGTTTGTCTTGGATCGTTGTCCAGATGGCAGATCCAACCATGGCCCATAATAAGATTTCTAGCAGAAGGTGTCAGGTTTTGATTTTTTATCTGTTGATATTTAATAGAATCCACAATGCCATGTGTCTGAATAAGAAGTCCAGGACCTCCTGCTGAAAAATAGGTCCCCAACATTAAAGATCCAATGGTTTATTAAATTGTACACATGGTACTTTTTATCCTCATGTCCACCAAACTATCTAGTGTGCTTACTGCCAAAAAGCTCTTTTTTTAGTCTCATCTGACCACAGAACCCTGTGCCGTTTGAAGATCCAGTCGTGTCTGACACCTGAATATGCTGGAGTTTGTTTTTGGAGGAGTGAGGAGGATCTTTCTTGAAACCCTCTCAAACAACATGTGGGGATGTATGGGTTGTTTGATATTTTTTTTTTATTTAATGCTGGTAGGTAGGTTAATGTGTAACTGCATGTGAAAGTTAATACTGGTAGGTAGGTAAGGCAAGTTTATTTATATAGCACATTTCATACACAATGGCAATTCAAAGTGCTTTACATAGAAAAAATTAAAATAATCAAAAGAAATCAGAATAATTAGAACAGTTTAGAATAAAACATATGAAAAATAAAAATAATTATAAAAATAAAATACAGTAAATAATTAAAACAATTTAGAATAAAAAATAAAACGAAGTACAGTAACAGTCGGACGAACAGTGGCAAAATGTACAGCTAAACAGATGTGTTTTGAGCCTGGATTTAAATGTGACTACTGTAAGAGCTCACCTGATCTCTTCTGGAAGCTGGTTCCAGTGGCGGCTGCTGGCATAATAGCTAAAAGCAGAATCTCCATGCTTAGAGTGAACCCTTGGTGTTTCTAGCTGATGTGAGTGATCTAGGTAGGTAGGTTTGAATAAGCATAAAAAAATGATTTGTGTGCTATCAACATTTCCATTAGTTTTTAAAGGGCCTACTAGGCTGTTTTTATTTTGCAGCTCTCCTACAACAGGTTTACATTAACCCAATGTCAAAAGCACCATTTTACTCATGCACCGAAACGGTTCAATACGAATACATGTACCGTTACACCCCTACTTCCTTGTAATACACCCTATGTTCTATTGCAAATCCTTTGTAACATTGTTGGCTCTGTGACACAGTGCATGTTCTAGTCTAGAAGATCATCATGCTGAAGTCCGGCTGCACCCCCTGTCCAAGACAATCTCCACGGCTATGAACTCGATTAGTAAGCAAAACCTCAAACATACAGTGCACTACTGTTCAAAAGTTGGGGTCTGTAAGATTTATGCTTTTGAATGAAGTCTCACACTTTACATTTTTTTTCATTGAGACTGTTCTTGAGAAACCTGTGGGATAAATTATCGGCGGCAAATGTTATAATGGTCATAGTTATAATAATAATTAATTTAACTATTAACCAACCTACCTACACTAAGCTTCTCTTAGTGTAGAATGTGTTTTAATAGTCAAGTTGCTGAATATGTTTTTTTTTTTGAGGGGTTTTTTTTAGGGGTTTTTTTTTTAGAAGAGAGGACTGATGCTTCTCTTATTGGTAGAGCTTAGGACTGATGCTTCGACACGTCAAGCACATACAGCTTAAGACTCAAGACTCACACACACACTACCCCCCCCTTTGGTTTGGTCTTTTGGGTGTGCAGACTCGTCGGGACCGGTTGATTCCTCTTGGCTCCCTCTGGTTGCTGGTCCTGACCCGGGATTGAACCTTTGACGGCTCTTAAACATGGCAACAGGACGTTCTGGCAAGGTTCTCTCAAAGTTATGAACAAACGTTTTTCCAGAAACATAAACAGAGGGTTTGTTAAGAGTCTGTTCGGTAAAACTTGTTTAAAATGTAACATGTTCCAATAAAGTTTGTAAAGTGATAATTTTAAGTTCTATTAAACGTTTTAAACAACTGGACACTGTTCAGGGAACATTCAGAAATAACGTTTCATAATTTATTTGGAATGGAATTTATACACTTTTTATTCATAAGTATGCAGTGTCAAACTACATCTCTGACGTTCATAACAAAACAAACCGTTTGAAAATCGGTAGAAAATCGAGCAAGTTATGGTCATTTAAATAGTACATGCACCATTAACACAATGTTACGAGTGAGCGAGCTGCCTGTGACAAGATGGCCGCCAGGTGCAGACGTAGACCTCCATTGGCCAGCAGCGTGGACGACATATCTAGCCTTTATATAGATATCTATGGGTAAGATGGCTTCTAAAACCATTCCAGCAGCTGATTGGTGGTTCAACGGCTGATTGGATCTTGGAGCTCCTCCTACTCGTCAGTGGCTGCAGCTGGCTGGGCTCTTTAAAAAGCCTAGTTTTGGATCTGTTCACTCTCTGCAGTTGGTGTCTTTGTGTCTGAAAACAAGATGACTCCACTTTCACCGCTGCTTTTGTTTCCAGGTCTGTCATAGTCATTAGACGTGTGTGGCTCTTTTTGTCTTGGTTTATTGTATGTTAAATGAAGTTCTCTACAGGCTTCTCGGGTAGATGGAGATTCGGTGCAGAAGCTTCAGTCTTCAGAGCGACTGAAGAGCTAAATCATGTTCAGACGTTCCCTATTTCCAATCCAGGACAAACGGGTGAGCTGTGAATGATCTTGGTTGAAGCATCATTTTCAAATGCATTATCCAATGTATGTGAGTTTGTTTGTGTCTTTGCAGTTCATTTCAGAGTTATCTCCATGAAACCGAACTTTGTGCCTTTTGATCAAATGGTAAGACCAGATGTTTCACCATTTTGAGTTTTCTGACCATAAATGAAAAGCAGGTTGTTTTAAGATGAACACATTTCAACTTCAATGACCGCTTTTAAATGTTTATTTCTGTTTTTTAATTGTCTATCTTCGTTCTCCTACCAGATGAATGCCACGGGCTGTGCCTCTCTTACTGTTGATGCGTCAGTGTTTTTCAACCCCAACGTTGAAGAGCAAGTGCAAGACACATTTCTTGTGAATGACACTGAGGAGAGAACAGGTGAGCTATTGGCTGATCTGAACCATATACTCTTTATGATCTTTAGAAGACTTTAAGCCACAAAGTTGATGTTCTCTACTGTTTGGATTTTCTCTCGCAGATGTAATGTGTCAAAATCTGCAACGGTGTCCATTATGTGTCTAGTTGACAAAGTCACATTTGTGGACCTCTTGGTTCGATGCTTAATGGAAAGGTAAGCAAAATGTCATCCCTTATTGAAGAAGCCTTCAAATTGGTTCCCTTTCCTAACCTTGATCATTCCTAACAGATCTACGTGACTCGACAAAGCTGTATATCTCTTGGAGGGGAGCAACTGCCCAACAAACTGCTTTCGAATCATCCACAAACAAGAATGGATGGGCTGCGTTCTCCCTAAACACTGTTAATCTTAAGGCTGATCTGAATCTGGTATGTTGATGATGGATAAATTATATATTTGGGAAAATAAAGTAAAAAAAAAACCAGGAAAATAATAAAGTAGTGTTTAAAGTCTAGTGTCTTTTTTGTGTGTAATGGTCTTTTTTTGTGTGTTTTAATGGTCTAGTTACTGAATGTGGTGTTTGAGGTTTTTTCATATAAAGGGTTTTTTCTTTAGGTTTTTTTGAGATTTTTTTATTGAGAAGAGAAGTTGCTCATAAAAACCTGAGAAGAGAAGTTGCTCAAAAAAAGCTGAGAAGAGAAAGTTCTCAAAAAAGCTGAGAAGAGAAGACTGATGCTTCTCTTAATGTAGAGTGTGTTTTAATGGTCTAATAACTGAATATGTTTTTTTTTTAGATTTTTTCCTTTAAAGGTTTTTTTTGAGGGGTTTTTTGAGAACAGAAGCTTCTGTTTGTGTAAAATGTGTTTCAATGGTCTAATAACTGAATGTGGTGTTTGAAGGTTTTTTTTTTTTTAGGTTTTTTTTTTTTTAGGTTTTTTTTTGAGGGTTTTTTTTTAGTTTTTTTTATTTATTTATTTTTTTGTCTTTTTTGAGTTTGTTTTTTTAGGTGTTTTTTTTAGAAGAGAAGCTTCTCTTAGTGTTGAATGTGTTTTAATAGTCAAGTTGCTGAATATGTTTTTTTTTTTAGTTTTTTTTAGTTTTTTTTTTGAGGTTTTTTTTATTTATTTATTTATTTATTTTTTGCATTTTTTTGAGTTTGTTTTTTTATGGTTTTTTTTTTTTTAGAAGAGAAGCTTCTCTTAGTGTTGAATGTGTTTTAATAGTCAAGTTGCTGAATATGTTTTTTTTTTTGAGGGGTTTTTTTTTAGGGGTTTTTTTTGAGAAGAGAGGACTGATGCTTCTCTTATTGGTAGAGCTTAGGACTGATGCTTCGACACGTCAAGCACATACAGCTTAAGACTCAAGATTCAACTGTCATCTATTATTATAGAGCTTAAGACTCAACCGTCATCTATTATTATAGAGCTTAAGACTCAAGACTCAACCAACCTCTATTTTTATAGAGCTTAAGACTCACCGTCATCTATTATTATAGAGCTTAAGACTCAAGACTCAACCGTCATCTATTTTTATAGAGCTTAAGACTCAACCGTCATCTATTATTATAGAGCTTAAGACTCAAGACTCAACCAACATCTATTTTTATAGAGCTTAAGACTCAAGACTCAACCGTCATCTATTTTTATAGAGCTTAAGACTCAAGACTCTTGACATCTATTTTTATAGAGCTTAAGACTCACCGACATCTATTTTTATAGAGCTTAAGACTCAAGACTCTTGACATCTATTTTTATAGAGCTTAAGACTCACCGACATCTATTTTTATAGAGCTTAAGACTCAAGACTCAACCAACATCTATTTTTATAGAGCTTAAGACTCACCGTCATCTATTATTATAGAGCTTAAGACTCACCGTCATCTATTATTATAGAGCTTAAGACTCAAGACTCAACCAACATCTATTTTTATAGAGCTTAAGACTCACCGACATCTATTTTTATAGAGCTTAAGACTCAAGTCTCTTGACATCTATTTTTATAGAGCTTAAGACTCACCGACATCTATTTTTATAGAGCTTAAGACTCAAGACTCAACCAACATCTATTTTTATAGAGCTTAAGACTCACCGACATCTATTTTTATAGAGCTTAAGACTCAAGACTGAACTGACATCTATTCTTATAGAGCTTAAGACTCAAGACTCTTGACATCTATTTTTATAGAGCTCAAGACTTAACCAACATCTATTTTTATAGAGCTTAAAAGTATCCAAGTAATTATCCAAGTGTTTAAAGTATCCAAGTAATTATCCAAGTCTTTAAAGTATCCAAGTAATTATCCAAGTGTTTAAAGTATCCAAGTAATTATAAGTATCCAAGTATCCAAGTGTTTAAAGTATCCAAGTAATTATAAGTATCCAAGTATCCAAGTGTTTAAAGTATCCAAGTAATTATCCAAGTGTTTAAAGTATCCAAGTAAGTATCCAAGTGTTTAAAGTATCCAATTAAGTAAATCCAATTAAGTAATTAGGTAAGTATCCAATTAAGTAAGTATCAATTAAGTAATTAGGTAAGTATCCAATTAAGTAAGTATCCAATTAAGTAATATCCAAGTAATTATCCAATTATATTATTATATTATTAAACGTCGCGAAAATTAATGTTTAAGCAGTATAACCGCAGCGACGGGGGTTCCGAAACCTCGGGGGGGGGACACACACACACTACCCCCCCCTTTGGTCTTTTGGGTGTGCAGACTCGTCGGGACCGGTTGATTCCTCTTGGCTCCCTCTGGTTGCTGGTCCTGACCCGGGATTGAACCATTAACCTTTGGAAGGCGAAACGAGGCCTCATCCACTACGCCACCGGAGCCTGCACACTTCTAACACTTCTCTTCGTACGTTTATCTTTCGAAACGGAGTCTAAACGCACAAACGCAACAAGAAGCTGGAATAGAACCGGCAACCTCTCGCTTCAGAGCCGGTTCCGCTACCACTGCACCACTGAAGATGACACGGTTCTGACACTTCTCTTCGTACGTTTATCTTTCGAAACAGAGCCTAAACGCAACAAGAAGCTGGAATAGAACCGGCAACCTCTCGCTTCAGAGCCGGTACCGCTATACCACTGCACCACTGAAGACGAGATGGTTCTAACACTTCTCTTCGTACGTTTATCTTTATGGAGGAATTTTAACAGTGTTTAAGTGTTTTTTTTTTTTTTTTTTTTTTTTTTTTTTGGAAGACGGCACGCTTCTGAAACCAACTCGGCACGCTGACTTTCAACCGTCAGAACCGTGCCGTCTTCAGAGGCTCAGTGGTAGCGGAGATACTTCTCTTCTTCGTACGTTTATCTTCCGAAGCGGAGTCTAAACGTAACAAGAAGCTGGAATAGAACCCTTAACCACTCGCTTCAGAACCGGTACCGCTACCACTGCGCCACTGAAGATGACACGGTTCTGACACTTCTCTTCGTATGTTTATCTTTCGAAACGGAGCCTAAACGCAACAAGAAGCTGGAATAGAACCGGCAACCTCTCGCTTCAGAGCCGGTACCGCTATACCACTGCACCACTGAAGACGAGACGGTTCTAACACTTCTCTTCGTACGTTTATCTTTATGGAGGAATTTTAACAGTGTTTAAGTGTTTTTTTTTTTTTTTTTTTGGAAGACGGCACGCTTCTGAAACCAACTCGGCACGCTGACTTTCAACCGTCAGAACCGTGCCGTCTTCAGAGGCTCAGTGGTAGCGGAGATACTTCTCTTCGTACGTTTATCTTCCGAAGCGGAGTCTAAACGCAACAAGAATTTGGAATAGAACCCTTAACCACTCGCTTCGGAACCGGTACCGCTACCACTGAGCCACTGAAGACGACACAGCTCTGGCTGTTCTCTTCATATGTTTATCTTTATGGAGGAATCTTAACAGTGTTTTAGGAGTTCAAATATGGAGTGATTAATCACATGACAATTAGGACTCAGGTGAATGGCTCAATGTTCTGGAACCATGTGACCATGAAGTAAAGATGGCTGAAACCAGGCCATGCGCTTCCAAAGCAGCATGTGGAGCTTGAGATGAATGTGAATCCTGAGTTAGTGTTTGATAAAGATATCAGGTCTGATTGGTTTTTAACCAAAACTCCTAAGCAGAAAAAACAAGCTCAGTCTAAACAAGTGCTAGTTGACTTAAAACATAAATCTGTTGAACATCCCTAACCCTTCTGAACATCTTCAAACAAGGTAATGCTGTTTGTTTTTGTGAATATATATATATATGAACGATTAGTTGAAGTCAGTGCTGGGTAGTAACTGATTACATGTAATTTAATTACCTAATAAATTGTGCTTTAAAAAAACAATCAGACTATAGCTACTTTTAAAATTGATTCTCAGAGTTTGATTTACAGAAATAACTGGTATTTTCTCAACATTACAGCTCCTGACGAACATAATTAATCTTTTTTTTCAGTAATCCTCTTTCGATGTAATATATTTGCTTGAAGTTGCCCTGAAATTTTAAGAAGCTCATAAGTCAATAATTTAACATTAGCATGTTCATCTTTCTCTGATGTCGTATAATGCAAGTAAAGAAAGCATTGCATCATTATTAAGTGTTTTAGATTTTAGACACTCCCTGAAATTCCTTCACAAACCCTGGTTTGGGAAACCCTAACATCAGGGAATAGGACAAAATTTGGTATGGTATTATCTTCAAATATTCAAATCTAAGTGTTTAGAAGTTAGTGGGATCTCGAAACCATATGCTTCGCGTTAGAAGCTTGTGAACGCAGGCTGGCTCTCCGCCGACTAAAGCAGAGCCGTGGAGAGCCGCTTCGACATGCTTTCATTGTTTTAATTTCATCATTTGAGCTGAAATGACGGGTTGGGGGGGTTTATGTCGTCCAGATTTGCTTCCCCTGGTCTGCATTTACGGCAGACATACGTTCTTCTCTCGCACAAAAACTGAATTTCAAACCAAATATGTAAAATTCCACGAAATTCCACGTTAACACTAGATTCCACGATAATTGGCCAAGTGGACCAGGTCAATGATGTCATGATCTACAGGGCTGTGATGTCGTGCCGTTTGTGTGTGTGAGGCCGGACGCCCCACCGTGAGTCCAGGGAGCCGATGGTCTCCTCAAAGAACAGAAAACACTCCCTTTCCTCGAGACTGAGGAACTGCAGATCATCTTCCTAGAGAGAGAGAAAGTTAAAGCAAACATTGAATGACTGCTAGTTGGCACTATAATATTATATTAAAATCTATAATATTAACCCTTATGTGCTGTTGTGGCTTTTTTCAGCCACTAAGGGGTATTTTTTTAGTCTTAATTTGGCCATAACTTTTTCCTTGTTTCAGCAAATGGAATGATTTTTGGTGACAAATCTTATTTTGACACATATTTTGGGAAAATGCTTTGAAATTTTTCAAAAACTCAACAGTACACTCTGGGCAAATTCACTACCCTTTCGTTATGTTCGTGGCTGAAAAAAGCCACTACTTTAAACTGCTGTAAA